AACTTTTTCATGGAAAAATTGCCATTATTAATTTAATACATTATTTTTCAAAAATAATCATTGAAATGTATGTTCATAAACTTAAAATGAAATTTAAATGTAAGGTAATGTTTTCTTTTATCACAAATTTGTCATATATTTTTTTAAAATACCCCATACGAATTGAAATTAAATTTATGAAAAAATATATAGCTTTTTCTGGGCTTGATCTATTTTGCTGGTTTGATCTATAGAAATATTGATGATTTTCTAATTATTTTTTTCCGGTCTTGATACACAACAATGATTTTTTATTTTTACGGATTATTTGATTGAATGAAATTGATTCATTTCAAAAGAAAGAGCTCGTACTGAAAACATAAAGAAACTAAGGCACAACCTTGATATATATTCAATGACCAAAAAAAAAACAGAGAGAAAACCCCAATTGAATCCAGTTGAACTATCAAAATTTTAATTAAGATCTGCACTTTTAATAAATCCATAATTAGGCTAAAAAGCCTTATTAGGGATTTTTTATGTTATTAAAGACTAAAATGTCCCTTTAAGTTAGTAAATTAGTAATTGTTTCAATTAATTTATGACCTAGCTTCTTTTTTTCTTGAGATGCTACTTGATGATCTATTGGTTGCACATGTTTTTGCCCCATATAAATTATGACTTTTTTTAATATAAGTTTATATTAGCAATTCTATTATCTCCATTTCCCATCAAATGTTGGAAAAATTATTTTGATTTCTATACAGTTCATATTAATTATTACTATGAATTTTAGTCATGAGATTATAAAATATATACGATGAAAACGTCTATATGACAGATACAACCAAAGCAACTTAAGAAAAAAAATGATAAATTTGATGCTAAAACCTACGAATACATTAAGATTCTGATTTTTTTAATTATAAAAAGAGAATTTTTCTTCAAAAAATTATTAATTTAATAGTATTGGAATCAAGTAATTAAAGGTTCTGTTTCTTATCAATATAATGAGAGTTAGTATAAAAATTTATATTATGCATTATCAATTTTTGCTCTTAGTATTTCTAAATTTTTTAATGTAAAATATTTTTTTATAGATAAATACTATATAATGTCAGTTTTAGACGATTTGATATTTTTGTTTTCAAACAATATTATTTTAATTATCAAAGGTATTTTAGTCTTTTACACTATTAAAAAATTATTAATAAGGTTTTTTGGTCTAATTAGGAATTTGTTAAAAATGGGTTTTAAATTTGAGTTTTGATATTTCAAACGGATTTAATTAGGATTCTCTCAAAAAAATATATTATTAATTTCGAAAATTGAGATATATCATGCTGGCCAAAAAAGAGATATGTCATATCTATTTGTGATTTTATTATTTGCTTATTGAAAAGTATTTTTATCATTACAATTCAATAGTGAGATCATTTTTCTCTTATTTTTTATTTGGTTGGACTCTAATATTTAAATATTTATTATTATTTCAAAGTATTCACAATATTTTTATATGTACTTAATAATACGGTTAATATTCAATCTCAATTGTTTGATCTATGGAATATATGAGGATTTTCTAATTATAATATAAGTTTATACGAAAAATAAATAAGTTAAAAAAAATAACAAATGACACTACAAACTAACAAATCTTATAGCAGATAGCAAGAACTCCGCTGATTCTAATCCCATTAAAGTTAAAAGAAAAAATTGGCAGCTTTTACCTTCTGCTACTTATTATGAGAACATTTTTAACAACTTCATAAATATTAAAAAATTTAGTTAAATTCAAAAAGTTTTTATACTATAAGAAATAATAACTGCTCACTTGTTTTAGAACTTACTAGTAATTATTTTTTTTTGGGAGTTGAAATCTTATTGTAGTTCTCCTTTAAATTTATTTCTTGTGGATTTCAAGAATCGGCATCTACTCCATATTGCCATAAAAGCTGGAAAGAGGATTGCTAATGGAAAAGAATAGAGATGCCGGAATTTCAAGTTCATTCGTCTCTATAATAAGATTTTCACTAACCAAAAAACATGCATAGTTAACTTGATTTTCAGTAAACAATGTCAACTAATTAATAACTCAAGCATTCTGAATTAAAGCAATCACATTAAAAAGAAATGTCACACCAATGGTAAGCTGTTCTAGTGACAGCACCGCCCACTATGATTGAATGAGGTCTCAAATTCGAGCTCAACTTTAATATATTTGTACGTGCATGTGCGTTTAAATTGCATAACTGGGAAAAAAAGTTATTTCATTTTTTATTATGATAAAATTCAATTTAGTGTGATAGTATTAGATATTTTATATTTTTTTTAATTAAAAGAGGGAAGAGAAAGAAGAAAATATTCTGGGAAGATGAAATATCAGAACGAAAGAATGGAACAACACGGGAGGGAGGAAGAAGTTATCCGCAGGACGTGAGCTTCTGGGTTTTCTGTCAGATCAGACTTAGGCTTAAAGTCTTGATACACAGGACGCAGATTAGATGGCTGAGTCCTGAAAGCTGGTCTTCTTGGCCTCATACTCATAGCCATAATATCTTCTTTTTCTTTCTCTCTTTTTCTCAACTTTCTCTCTCTCGCCAAACACAAAATATGTTCTAGCACACACTCCTTCAATATAATCCAACTTCTGGGTGTGCATGTATTTATACATATGGTGGAAAGCCGTTTGCGTTCAAGAATGATCTTGTCTTTTTTTTCCCTTGTTGAGGAGAGTATTCCTTGTTGTTTGCTTTGGTTTGTCAATGTAATGGGGTTGAAAAAAATTTGGTCTTTTGTGAGAGGATTGAGGTTATACTTGTTTGGCAAATAAGGTAATTGTTCTTTGTTTTGAAGAGAAATTTGCAGAGCAAGCCTTAAGTGATCAAACGTTGGGGCTTATAGCTATAGGTTTCCTTCCTTCCTTTCTTTGCTTTTTTAATTTTTTTTGGAGTAGCCTATAGGTTTTGTTTCTCCTTTCCGTAGTTCTACATAAACACAAGGCATATACGTGTGTTTGGAATTGGGAAAAAAGGGGGGGGGGCATATTAACAATTCAGATCCAAAACATCTAATTTTACTGCAGATCGAGAGACATTTGACATTATGTTTTTGCGTGTTTGTGTCAAGTTTTCCTATCATCTTGACAAGTAGACGTAAGGTCACAAAAACTCTCTTTTTACATTTCTAACCTTGTTGTAAAGTTCCCCAATAAAATTGACAAATGAATGTCGGGTACTCGGTAGAATTGCAAGTTGACTTGCTATTTTAATACTCCTCCGATCTTAATATAAGACTCATTTAACTAATTTGATTAGATTAGGAAAGTTAGGTAAGTTAATTAATTATAAGAAAAGTGATTATTTTTTCTAAAACACCATTAATCATCTTTCTTAATATCCCCTCATTTTTCTACTGATTATGGGTTGAAGGAATATTCACAAGGGTAATTTAGATTAATAAATATGAGAAATAGATTTTATATTTAGGACCAAAACCAATTCAAGAATTGAATCTTATATTAAGATCAGAAGAGTATACTATTTCTAATTCCTAATACAAGATACAATTGACTAATTTAAGAAGATTAAGAAAATTATTAAATTACTTAATTAGATGTTACATGATTTCTTTAAATAGTTATACTTATCAATTCATAAATAAGACATTAGTTTTAAAAAAACAATAAATATAAATAATTTAATTAATTTAGTAACTTCATTAATTTCTGCAAATCAATATCAAGAACTCAAGGTAGTACTTCATTTTTTAAAAGATGAAACCACATTTTGATTCCTTCTCCTAATGCTATCGTGACACCGGAGATCAAGGGATTACTTCATCATTTGAGATTTAGTTAAAACGTTTCCTTGCCAGAAAGTCCTATCATATTCTAAGCAAGACAAATTTCCTTGCATCAACTTTCCTTTTCATCATAACCCATCTAGCTTTTCAAATTTGTTTGCCCGGCTCACTTGTTAAGTTGAACGGGGGTCTTTTTTCATTTGGAATCGAGTTTGTCAATGGTCAACTCCGCATATGATTAGTACCCGGTCCAAAATCCATCAAGATAGAAGAGAAGGATCCCACTAGGTTTGTTATGGCCAAGGACCAATGAAAACCAGAGCTGGTCATTCCACTGGAACCAAGAGATGTTGATCATTCTAAGATAGCCAGTACCTCATACAAATATGTTATTCCTTGGCCACCAATTCTCCATTACAGGAAAAAGATAAAAAGCTGCTCTACTTTGGAGATACCTTCCAAAAGAAATGAGCCCATATACGTACTCCATTTTCTCTTACCACCTGATTTATTCCATTACATTTCATATCTTGATCCATGTTCTGAAGCATATTATTCAGAATTCATATATCTATTGCACAAACAGCATACTACAGTAGCGAGTGGTATGTAGATTAATGGACAATGTAGAACATTCAACTCAAGTAGTGTCAACAACATAATATAAAATATTGATGGCAAAATCCAACTTGTACTCTACCAGAAAAACTAAGATGCTAGTCCAGGGAACTTCAAACTAAAATCACAAAATTGGAACTTGCTACATTCAATATTGCAATCTAACCAACAATGCTTGGGACTTGTTCAGGATCACTCCTTCGTATTTCACTTGGAACCACTTCATTGCATCCTCCTTTGTGACTCGGTGCTGGATCCCAACACGAGACTTGCACCTGCGGCGACGTCCCACACGGTATCCAGGGCGCTCCAGAACAACATAGAAGTCCATTCCATAGATACCAGTAGATGGATCGTATCTGAAGTAGAGTAGCCAATTTTCAATACACAATACATAACAGTTTTGAAGATTGAAGGAAGAAACTAAATTCAGTTTATAATGCAAAGATGAAAGGATTTATGCACAGAGCCAACGGACAGAAACCGGCCTAATTTAAATAACAGGGAAAAAAACAAACTTAATGGAACTAAAGCTCAGAATTTCACCAAGAATGACAAAATAGTTGATAAAAACCAGAAATAAGGTAAAAACACAGCCTGTAAAGACTTTACATGCCATTAGATATGTTGCAGTTCCATAGATAAAACACTATGCACATGACAAAATACTGCAATCTGAAGAGATTTCCCGCTTACTTGATCCCCAAATCAATATGCTCCTGAATGCCAAAGCCGAAACATCCTGTATCACTGAAGTTTCTTCTCAGCAGTTCATATTCCTTCACCTTCAGACCACTCTCCAGAAGCTGCATTGCCTTGTCACCCCTAACAGTGACATAGCAATCTTTTTCATTCCTTCTAATACCGAAGGAACGAACAGTATACCTTGCTGTCCAAAAGCAGACAAGCAACTGAGAACTAATAAAGTGGAAAATGCAGCGAGCAACGAACAATATATCCAAGAACACTAACTTCAGTCACTTTAGCTCCCTCAAGTGAAACTAATCATAATCTTTCTTTTATGTTTAAAAGCTAAACATCATCACGCAGCCAATAATGTAGTCTTAAGGATACCATGCTCAGAAGTCTTTACTTTAATTGGGATTAAAAATACTTATTGCTCGATTACAGATTTAAAACCAACAATTATATCAACGAATGCAAGGAACAGCAGTGTAATATGTCTCTCAAATATTTAGAGTGCCGACTTGTGTATCTTGCTCTAAGAGACATTTAGCCATCAAGCAAAATTATATATCAAAATCCCCCAACATTATAACCAACTTGTAATCGAAACCCATATATTATAATCAACTTGGTGACAAGTTCTACAATTTACAACCAAACTTCACCCAGATTTCCCGGCCAAACAAGGAAAAAAAAACCATAAAGAAAGTGTCGTTGTACAAACCCAACCAAGCATAGCATCACAAGGATAAAAGAATTAACCTTTAGAAAATACTGGGTTTGGCCACTACTGCTAAGCTGCTCCACCCTATAACAAAGCAAAAAAAAAAAGAATAATTCGAATCAAAAGGTCAATTCGAACCACAAAGAACAGAAAGGACCATTCACAATACGGATGGAAAACCTTAGCAGCTCTGGTGAGACGATCTCCACTCTCACCCACTGAGATATTGAGAACGAGCTTCTGCCTTTATTTCCCTCATAGGGTTCGCCAGCTTCTTCTCTGAAGCCTGTTCATGAAGCATTTCACATCAGCCAGAAGCAGAAAATGAGTCATAGAAATGAATAGATAAAAAGTGAGAATAACGAAAAGAGGAGGAGGAAGAAGAGTGCATACCATTGGAAAGGAACCTAGGCGACCTGAAGCGGCGGAGACAGAGAAGAAAGGCAGCTAGAAGAAACACTAATAATGCGAGAGGAATACGGCGCTAGGGTTTTAAGAGAGCCGATGATAAAAGTTAGCCCCGAGAGGCAGCCACTGCCTCACTGGCAAGCCAAAATATTTTTTGTTTAAATAAATTTTAAATTTTATCTCTTACATTTTCTATTTTTAGGATTTTTTTTGTAATTTTATTTGTTACTAATATTTTGCTTTATAATTTTAATTTAATTTGATTCACCTATTACCCTCTGATTAATATTGCATTTTTCTTTTACTGAAGAATCAAACAATTTTTTTTAATATTCTACATTATAGTATTAAAAATATTTTAAAAATAAAATTGATAGTTTAATTATGAATAAAATAAAATTGCATAAAAAATGAAATATGGTATGAAATTTAGTTATAAAATCAGAACTCAAACGATGAAACTCAGGGTAGATGCAATTAAATTAAGAGAAAATTACGCACAGGTCTTAAGGAGGAAACTTTATTCATCTAAGGTCCTACAAAATGTGAAAATTACTAGCAAGTTCTAGAGACCTTAGAGTATTATATTTTAATTGTAAAATGACATCATTGCCCCTCAGATTCTCAATTCATATTTTTTTTGTTATTGCAATTGATAACCTCAGCAGCGACTATTAAACAACCTAATGAGAAGGTCTTGACAACCAAGCAGTATTCGTTGACAATTTACTTTGTAGGATCACATAACCTCCATATAAGAGTAAATTAAAACCAAATAGTATAATACAACAACTTTAACCTAAAATAGAAAGTTTTTCGAAAACCATTAAGAACTTTAACTAAACCCGATTATAGTAAAATTTTAATGCACAGTCTATTGACAATCTCAACGGTGAGTATTAATAACTAAGGAAAGCTGTTGACAATCTTACAATGTTTGTTGACACTAACTTTATAGGATAATATAACCTTTAACAAATGTCAAATTTTTTACCCAAATGCAATTTTTTTCCCAAATAACCCCTATATATAATTGGTAATATGAGAAAGTAATGATGAGATAAATAAAGAAAGATAATGTATTAAATACATTAATTAAGAATAAAATAGATAATAAAAATTTAAATGCTCATATAAACTCAAAGAGAATTTTTATAAAAGAAAAGACTCATTCAAAAAAAATCAGATCTTATAATAAGCTAGGAACTAGGAGTATAATATATGTGAGAGTTATGTGTCAATTTTAAATACAATCATTTGTGAAATTCTCTTAATTAGCAAGCCTACAGTGCATGTCATGTACATTTCTCATGCTGCCATATTACTCTGGCACTACATTTCTTCACCCAAAGTGACAGAGAAAGAGATGAATGGCTCCAGCAAACACTTTAAAGACAGCTTTTTAAAATCAACCAACGCTTCGGTCAACTGGTAATTAAGAAAATGATACTGACTATCTAATATAAAATCTAATTATTAAGCTGATTGTAACCTTAAATATTATGATGATATTTCTTCATATTATTAATTTTTTTAAAGATGATCATGGGTGTTTTAAAAAAAAAAAGTTATATTCTATAGTTAACTAACTTATCTAATTTACTTAATTTAATTAATTAGTTATATAGGTATTATATTAAGAATTGGAGGAATATAAATTTAATCAGAAGCTTTGAATTCGACCCTAAAAATGCTACTACGTTAATTATTTGGTGGTGGGGCTTGTTTGTCGAATAGAGACATCTAATTAATTCGATAGCCTAGAACTTGACAAATCCTCTAATGATGAATTATGTGATTAGGCGTCCAGATTAAAAAAAAAAAAAAAGGGACTTTTTGAGGAATATATTTAAAATTACACACCATGATGAAATTTTTAGACATTGGGCCATGAAAAAGTAAGAAAGGTCGTTCTTGTAATACTGGCCCCAACAGGCTTTCGAGACAATAAACTGAAATTTGGGCTTGGAAAAACTTAGAAAGGGCCTTTCTCGTAATACTCTGCACGAGTCAGATACGAGCAAAGATCGAAGAATAGAAAGTGGCATAGAGGAGTTCAGGGAGAAATCAATTCATCAATCAATAATCAATAATCCATAAATCAATAATAATATAATAATAATAAAATAATATAATAATACTACCTACTCCTCCGGTCCTTAATATAGACCCCATTTGACTTTTAGTTTGGTCCTATTATAAGACCCCAATCCATTTTATCTCTCATATTTATGTATTTTTTTCCAAGACAATCCTTCTAATAATGATAGTTCTAGCCAATACACTTATTAGTAAGGATATTTTAGGAATGACAACGCTTATTTATTACAAATAACTAACTTAATTTACTTCCTTTATCTTCTTAAATTAGTCAATTGAGTCTTATAATTAAGACCAGAGTAGTAATCAATAATAAATAAATAAATAAATACCACTAAAACTCGTAGCAAGTTGTTCATTGGTCCATTTGTGCATCCACGGTATACCCTTTCTCAGTCGTTTAGTGGTTAAAGATACGGTGGAATACAACTTATGAGATGAAAAGTTGGATGACATATAAAGTTCAGAATATATTACTATATTCACTCACACAAACTATTAATAAATGACTTCATCCAGTCTAACCAATTAGATTTGTCTCCATCTTATTTCCTATTGGAGGTATACAATGAAATGATGAATGTAGAGCATGCGCGGGCAAAAATTTTCAATTTTCAAATTCAATTGTTTCAAAATCACTCAAAATAACACCTTCACCTTCAACCCTAACCACTTTAATTCATAGGAAGGACAATGAAGTTATCAGTTGGTTTTTTCTCTCCACTCATCGGACAGAACTGCAGAACCCCCTAGCTTTCATCTTCGTCTCACTTAGTGCCTCACATGCCTGATCAAGCTTGTTGATCACCATTGTTGAGTGAATTTTGTCATCTATATTGTCTGCAATCTCAGGCTGGAAGGTTTGATTCTCATTTGATTGAAAACTCACATCTCTTCCTTAGGATCCGTTTAGAACAGCTTATAATTAGCTTATAAGCTACTTTTTAATAGTGATTTACGGAATACGATGCAAGTATGTGAGAAGAGTTTTGTCTTGACTTTATCAAACGTGCTTATAAGAGATTTTTACTGCTTCGCCAAATGGGGCCTCAGTCTTCGCTTTTTGTTGTTGCATGCTGCCATTCAGTGCGCTGCCTTTGGAATCGTTAAGGCTAGCTCCTTTTGGACCAAAATGTAATAGGACTATTGAAAGAACTGGGCAATGTAAAAGTTTGAGTCATGGCCCATGGGCAGCGCTTTCACAAAATTCGCTGGAGTTGACAATATCTGACCTATGATATCATTTAAGCTTTAAGAATGTGACACTTCACATCCTGTCATTTGAATGTATTGTTGTACTATAATTTCTTTTGCTACAATATCATTAGGCAAATCCACCACAATGCGTCGTGATAGATGAGATTGCAGGGAAATGCACATAAGAGAATGATGAAGAACTTCAAGAAGATGATGTTATTGCCATCCATTTTGGGAAGCTTATGTGTGAAAAAGGCAAAGGCATAATTGAACTATTCCTTCGGACAATCAAACATAACTGGCATGCATGTGACAAAATTCATGTTAACGTTATTTCAGGGGTACTATTTCGCAAAAGTGCAAAACCACCATCAAATTAGTAAGGTCATTTTCAATCCAATAGAGCAGGACAATGAAGATCTGCCTGCCTCATTGGGATTGGGGGAGAATGTGAACCCTCACAGGAGTCTTTCACCTGACATTAGGACATGTCATCACAAGTTCAATGGATATAGTAAAGTGGATTGGTTTTTGAGTTTGTGTCATAGTCTCTCCTGGGTGAGAGGTTTCCGTCCTCCTCCGTAGTGTGAGCTTGTGCCTGTGTGCTTAGTGTTCCGGCACCTCTCTCTCCGGCGTTTGCCGAGAGGAGGCTGTCCTGCTTGGGGTTTTTGTTTTGGGGGTTTAGGTTTTCTTTTCTTCTAGTTTGTTTTTGTCTTCTTCTG